TTTATCCTTTTACCTAACACAGGACGAGAACACCTCACCGACACCATGTGTCCTCTACAACAAGCAAGAGCTGAACGATGCAGACTTTCTTCACATTGTTGAGGATCGTGAGCGCTTGTTTTTCGTTTTTAATGCAGAAGAGGGGCTGTGCATGTTGTTGGCAGCATATTGGCTTTTCAGCATCCTCCAGTACGAATGCAAGGCCTCCAACACACTGGTTGCTCTGGAGAGGATTTTCCTTGGCTTGAGCGACGCCGATCGAAGGACAGTCGTAATTAAATTTTTGAACAATGTTTGCAGAAAGGTATGTGGCTGAAGAGACGTTTTGTGAGCCGTTTTGAAAGTGTATAATCCACATTTCTCGCCAGTATTATCAGGTTAATTTTTATTTTGCTTCCAGAACGAATGATAGAAGGTTTTATGGAGGCATGTTTTCTTTTTCTTTCTTTAAATGTTGGGCACTTTCTGTGATAACTAATGCTGACCTCCTGTAGACGATGTGCTTAGAATTTAGCTGTACGAGTTCCTTATCCATAGTCGTCTTCCAGAACTTTATAATTTTCTTTGTACGTGAGCAAGAGGATAGCGTGTTCTACTGAAACGTTTGCTGTTTTGCCGTAGAGTGCAAGTTCATTCTGTAATATTTTTCATTACATATTTGCAGATAGCATTCTTTATTTCATGGAATGGCATACATTGCAATTTCCATTTCTCAAGGTTCAATAAATGTTCAATTTAACACATTCTAATTGATGTCATAATGAGCTTCACCTAATGAAATACTGCTGTGGTTCAGCCAATGGCTAAACTACCCCCCTCTACCCTGCTTCCAATTAGTAAACATATGCGCGTAGGAGACAAGGGATAAGCGAAGCGTGTTGCCTGCAATCCTCTAAGACAAACAAAACACGTCACTTGATCTCCAAACAGGAAAGCTTTACATGCTTCGTCTGTGGCAGACCATGATGTTCGCAATGGTTCAGCCCTGCAGTGCGATGCTTGGGGCCACTGCTTGCTCACTTAGAGTTCGAGAAAGGGGAGTGCCGTAACACTTCCCAAGTGCCCACGGGGTTATGATGTGGCTTGCAAGGAGCTCTTTTGTATTACTTCTTCATGAAGTGAGTTGTGTTTAGTGTGACTCATTATTTCTTTATCACGTGCCTCGTATGTGATGATGTGGCAATCCCTCTAAGTGAAAAAAGTGTAAATGTGTTCAGTACACATGATAAGCTGTAAATCATATAATAATAATATAAGAATATGCAATACCATATATGATTTTCCTACAATTTACAAGTTCTGATATGTGTATTGGACACATTCCAATGAAATGTTCACTGGGGTCTATACTTCATTTCACCCTTCGTCCGAGCGCGGCGGACGCTACCAGCCAATCCAGCGTCGGGAGAGCGTCATGTGACCTTGAACTCCACATAACCAAAACGTCGCATGATACTCTCCTGGCGCCAGATTGGCTGGGGTGGCCCAGCATCCACTGGGCCACCCCAGCAGGTGCCCATTTCATGCCAAGCACCCTTCACCAAGGGTGTTCGCAAGCACCCTTTGTGAAGGGTGCTTGCCTGAACGCCATAAGGGTGTTAGCCCAGGGACAAACTGATTTACACCCTTAAGTGTGTAAAAACCTTTACGGTGTACTCAAAGCTTCTCTTTCCCATTAGTGCCAGTAAGCTTGTGTAAAGTGAAAAATATTGTAACTGAACAGTAGAGAGTTTTAGTAGATCGCTCCCATGACTCCGATAACGATACCCGATACTCCGCCACCGCCTCCCTTGCGCATGCATGGTATCGTTATCGGGACTATCGGAGGTATCGGAACGATCTACTAAAACTCTCTATTGTTGCACTGTCCCTTCACCTAAAGTTACTTCTTATTTTTTTTACTGCTGCACTACCGGGGGATCTTAATGGTGGGACAACAAACCATCCCTGAACCTACGACGACTGGAATGGTGGTCGCAACCAGCGTCGTAAGACTTAGTACTCAAAAAGTCCAATAAATATTGAGCAGCCTTGCAACAGCTTCGCGTGTCATTACTATGTAAGAGTTTCTGGGGTTGAGTTATAAAACATGACCTCCCGAAACTCTTGACAGTCTTCTGAGGAACACTGAGGCAGTCTGTGATAAATTATGTATTAAGTGTATAACTACAGCCACCGGAAGTCAATGGCCAGTGGCTGGCCGAAAGGGACTGGCCAAAGGTGAATGGCAAGTCACTGGCCTAAAGTGAAAGTCTAGTCACTAGCCAAATGTGAATGGCCAGTCACTCGCCAAAGGTGAATGGCCAGTCTTTGACCTAAAGTGAATGGCCAGCCACTCGACAAAGGTGAATGGCCAGTCACTGGCCTAAAGTGAATGGCCACCGACTGGCATAAAGTGAATGGCAAGTCACCAGACGAGGACGAAAACACTTCTATTGCCGAGCACTTTGGCCAAGCTTGGGCCATCGAAAATCTGGTTGGCCATAGTACACTTGCCAGCGATGGCCCATTCACAACGTGCTGCTTGGGCTGTCTGCCATGAATAAATGATAGTGGCTGCAGCAGCTGTACCTTGGCTAGAGGTAATATAACTCTACCAAAAAGATGGCCGCCAGTGGCCGCATTCGCGGAGCGGGCAAACGCGATCCAGCAATTGTCATAGAGATGAGTGGATGCACCAGAAAAAAAGTAGCCCCTAGCTGGTGCGTTGTTCGAAAAACTGCTCTCAAAGATTTCCGCTTACTGTCAATACTTCACTGCTGTGGGATATAAAATATCTAAGAAAATGCCAAACATTCTCTCGGCGATACGATAATGTAAAATTAAAACAACGAGCCAACACTAACAACGTGCGTATGTACGACTCACGCCAATTGTAGTCAGCAGACCTTCTTTGTGGCTACTTTCTTCATTGTTTACATGCCTTTAACGAAGGGGGTGAACTATTTCACTAGTCTCGATGCATATTTCGGCCGACTGAATGATACCAGCCAGACGGCGCCATTTGCTCAACTTGAAAACTTTGCCAACTCCGGCGACTACTCCGACATTTCTGGAGACCATTTTTTCCTTATCTTCCGAATGGCTGAGGCGGCAGGGAAACGTTTTCCGCACGGGAAAAATTGGTCCAGGACTGGTTGCTCTGGTGGCCGCATGTTCTTGCGGCGGTCAGCCGATTTCGCCAGCACGCCTCAAGCTAAGCGAATATATTCATCCTCAGGTCCGCAAGTGTGAACACACCGTAAGCTACTCTTCGTTTCAGTTTAGGTTCAGACGCAGCCGACACTACGAGTACGAAATGAAGGAACCAATCCTGTAGCGTCAAAGCGCAAGTCACTAAGCCGCCTGTCTTTATGATTGGTTCAGCGGTGATAGAACACGTACAAAAACATGACGAACACCATGACAATGTGCATTTGATGATATGTGATTGGTCCCATCAGCTCGTAGCGCGGACTCCGTCTGGATTTTAGGTGAATCGAAGTATAGACCGCACTCAAAAGCTTGAACGCACAACGGCATGGATGCTAAAAGTGCAAGTCACCCGCCTTTATTAGGCTTGACTGGTTTGGCAAATAATTGAACACGTAAAGAAAGATGGCTAACGGCATGACGTAGCGCTTTTATGCCTGCTTATGGCGCGTTCGCGCTTATGGATCGGCGGGCGGATTCGCGCTGGCGGCGAGCGGATTTTGGAGCCGCGTGGCAAAATCTACTTGTCGCAGGTGGAAAATCTGGATATGGGTCCCGGACCAGTCCGAATTTTCGGCCAGCGACGAGCAGATTTCGCCACCCGGCTCTATACTCTGCTCGCCGTCGGCGTGGATCGGCCCTCGAATTCGCAAGTGTGAACGCAGCACTACTACCAACTCATTGGCTCCGCTCGTACTTTAGTTGCACCGAATAAATTGCTAAAGAAATGCTATCGCATTTAAAAATAAACGTTGATATCGTATCCGTGCTCATTGTACTTATTTCACTGCTCGTGGTATATAAAAAAACTTAGAAATAAAGAACAACGTTACACCTTCCTATCACAAAAATGACCGATCCTACGTGAAATAAGCGACAGGTTGTTGGCACGAACAAGGAATCGACGCTTTTAAATACCAGAACATTTCTTTAGACAGCCTCCTTACAAAGTTCTGCTGTGTTCTGTAACACGCAATGAATGCGGATGAGCAGGAGACTGGTAGGTGGATAAATTAAGTAGACACAACAAAACTCTGAATGTCCCCAAGGGGAAATCTAACCCAGGACCATAACATTGTAAGCCCGACACCACTCACTATCGCGCCAACCAGGGAGGAGGGGGGGGGGGGGGGGGGGGAGGGGGTTGTTACGCGGCAGTTATTAAATACGATAATATTTGTGAGGCAGTCCGACACTGCGGAACGTTAAATTGGCGTCAGCGGGTAAGTCAGATGCTTGCTCCCGCTACACGAGGGCTCGGGCAGCCTATAGGCGCAGTCTAACGGAAGAAGGTTGCGCTTGTGTTCGCAATTCTGCAGTGATTGCTCAGCAAAGGGCAAACTTTCGAAGGGGGTCATAGTACAAGGTACTTATGGCTAATATCCGAAATACATTGCGAGAACCAAGTGGGATATGTGGAGATTACGGGGTCATCTTTACAATATTAATGACTAAAAGGCTTGAAAACCAAGAGATCTCCGGCGTGGACTATTTAACAAAGTCCACGCCGGAGATCACGTTGATACTCCACTTCCGCCCAGGTACGGCTCAACACGTCCGCATCAACCTGTGCGATCACATCGCTTATGTGAGCACGAAGGTCTTGCAGGTAGCTTACACAAAAGATTGGGTGTTCCTTAACATGCTGTTGCAAACTTTATATCTCTCTTAGTTTCCAAGGTTTTAGTCATCAAAGCTGTTAAAATATTTTGGGGGCATCCTGTATATTACCGCAATACGTCCGCACGTGCATCTGCAAGCTCAAGCTCCTGTGGAATCAATGTTTGTTGTATTCTTTCGACTTGCAGTTCCGGAGTTTGTGAAACTGAAAAAATGGGAAGTACACGAAGTGCTAGGATTCCTGTTTGTGTGGCACCACGCCGAAGGGGAAGAGCCGTCCTGGCGCATCGAGGACATTCCCCAGATCACCAACGGCAACTGGAAGCTGTTTTGCCGTTTCGACAACAGAATCAGCTGCCACATTCGAGACATCATCGAAAATGGTTTCGACACGGCTCACGTGAAGCACTTGCACAAGCCAAACGTCCTTCTTTCTGCCGACACATTTTTACGAAGCGGTGGAGAGAGCCTTTGGGCGCGTTGTACGATGAACCATTGGACAGCCAAGAACAGGGTCGAGGCGCACAGATGTTTCAACGAATTCGATGCCGATGTGTCGATCCTCGGCAAGCGGAGGCAAGTCTTCCGGACTATGGTGAAAACACAAAACATTGGGCCGGCGTTGATACTAGATCATGTTCAGAGCAAATTTGGGACCGCCTGGGTGGTGATGGCGGTACTTCCCGAGAAGCCCCTACAAATGCGCCTCATTCAGAGGATGCACTTTGAACCGAATGCCTCGTGGTTCTTCCGGTACTTCCTTAGCAAGGCTCACCTCTATCAGGTAGGATCTAGTATGCTTATTTTGAATTATAACCCTGGAAACGGTAAAATCGGTTCCAAATAATTGTGTGTAGAATGTTACAATGTAAGTGAAAAGCCCGCGCCTTATAATCGGATTACCTAAATTTGATAAATTTGGCTTATAATCGCCGATGAAAAAATGCAGGACATAACGAGTCCCGAACATTTTATTTGCTCTCCCCAAATAATGAGGATGTATCATTAGCCGATTAGAACGCAGGAGCGCAAATCACAAAGCAAGAAGTGTGAACATGACAATTCATGTTCATGAGTTTCTTCATCTGTCAGTGACTATAGTTTATACAGAGCCCATGGTCGTCTGCTTCTTGTATCAGTAACGTAAGCACGGCGATCTCTCATTTCATCGGCTGGAAGGATAGCGGGTAGACCTCATGGCAACTAGCATTGAGGTCTACCACTATCTTTCTATAACAACCAATCAGAGCTCGGCGTTTTGACGTCTGCTCAACCCCTGCTCCAGAAGCAGACGAAGTTGCGTTCCGCACAGACAATATAAATTCTGAGCAGATATGTGCATAACTCATTACTGGTAACTTGTTACTTCAACCTAGTTACGTTTTTTGTTAACGGGCAACGTATATGGTTCTTTTTGTAGAAAAAAAAACGATTAACGGATTTAGTTACCTTAAAGGTCCAGTAACGAGTAACGGTAGTCCTTTGAGGAGTAGCGTGAACACCGCCGTTTAAACATGCTCGTTTTAATTGTAACCTTAATATGCATCTATTACGACAATGGCAGATAAGAAACCCGGAAAACAACTAAAAACATGACGGTATAACAACGTTTATCGCTGAACACGTCGGTTGCACTCTACAGCTTTCCAGTAGATTGAACCTTCTAGAATCGTGTGCAATCCGAATGTAAACGCCGAAGGTTACCAACACGGCAGGGCACAAAACTCATTGTCAACTTGGAATGATAGAAACGGAAAAAAACAAAAGAGAGAAAGGAATCCGAGATTCACTAGCTCTCCCTGAAGCACAAGAGTACCGTTCTGTTGAGCACCTCGGTAGAACGACTCTTCAGCGTAGCAGGAGATGTATTATCAAGGAAGCGGGGAAACAACGGATGAATACTTGTTGGTGATGAAGTACAACGAATACTAAAAAGAGGAAAAAAATTGTGAAACAAAAGTTGTTGTGTATTTTGCCGTCAAAGTAACGAGAAAGGTAACCCGCTACTCTGGAGGTAAATAACGCGTTTCTTTGTGAAACTCGAGTTCTGCATTTAGTTACTTTTTGAGCAAGAAACGATCGAGCAACGGTATTAAGTTATTTCTTTTGGGGAAAAACGTCTATAGATGTCGGGGAAAAACGTCATGACCCTAAATCTGCACTCGCACTACCCACACATCGTACACAGAAGACGCGGAGTTCGCTCTAGGTATGATAACAGGGTTAGCTGCGGACACACTCCCAGCACGTGAAAAGCATGTTTACTTCATGTACGCTTCGAACATGTTTGCAGACAGTTTTTGTATGGCCGATGTCATGCAAGGAAGAAGCACGAATTCGGACAGTGGCTAAAGACTGTCAGACTGTCTTTTACGCGATGTATGAGCAGTGTGAACGCCGTTTAACGGCGTTCACACTGTTCATACATCTAGAAATACTTCCGGGTGGCTCAAATAGCGATTGGGCTGTTTAAATCGACGGAAAAAGTCGGTTTTCTAGCCTATCGCGCTACGATTTGGTGCAGCGTTGTCCAGAGGTTGTGCATTAGTTCTATAAAATTTGCAAAGAGCGAACTTACCTGAGCGAAAAGTAAAAAAAAAAAAAAGTAGTCTTAATTCCAATGGAAACGAAGTGAAGCCGCCGTTCTTCAAACAATAGGGCGCCATATCGTTTGAAGATTGGTGGCTTTGCTGTGTTTCAACAGGAGTTAAGCCTTTTTTTTAACTTTTTCTTATGTAAGTTTGCCTTTTGCAAATTTTATAGAAAAAATGCACCACCAGTGGGCAACGCTGCACGAAATCATAGCACGATAGGTTAGGGAACCGATTTTTGTTGATCGATTTAAAGAGCTTGCCCGTTATTTGAGACATTCTGTATATAACTGCCCCTTATTTTTATTTTTTTTTGTGTGTGCGAAGGCTTTTTAGGTTGTTTTTGTCTGCGAATAGTGGGCTTCCTCTAAAAGCTTTTTTTTTTTTTTCTATTGCATAAATTTGCACTGGTATAATTGTAGTAGGTTTCAGTGTCGTGCCCGATAAAATGTATAATTTTGTTGCGCATTCTTATAATAACTTCAATACCATAGCGTCTGGGTTAGTGTAATTTATCTAAGATTAGAATATCTACAGATTTCGTATATATCCAAGATGTGGTCCACGGGGCGCCGTCATCTAAGATGTGGTTCACAAAAACGCTCTCATCCTTCTTCAATATCGTGACATCCAGTGTGGGCGAAAATGTTTTGTTGGAGTGGCCACGCCTATATAATAGAGTTAGTATAAGCGTAACCGTCACCCATTCACGTTTTTCTTCATCTCTAATTTTTTTACTGTTAACAGGTTGAAATGATTTATTGTTTTTTGTCGCCCATACCGGGTATGCCTTGCAGGTGACTGGGGAAAAGAGTAAACGAAAAAGCTTTATACTTGGCGTCGACACGTTTGCGCTATGTTTTCGAGGCTAGCATAGCTTCTGCAGTACATGAACGCTGTCTAAACTAGGTTCGTTAAGGTGTGTCTTCCATTAACGCCCCCTTTGCAACAATATCGCAACAGCGTGCGCGAATTTGGCACACAAAACAGAGCCATGCACTCTCACGGGAACGCGGGGTTGTATCACTGTGGAAGCTCTGGTAGCCTCGACAATGTAGAAGAAAGAATAGTTGTAGCAAAATAAACGTAGCTCCAGATCCATCTTGTGACGTGGTGGTGCAGTGGTGTGGACAAACTCTTTAATATTAGCGTGGGAGAAATGTCATCCTTGAGCTTCGTTGGCGTTAACCGGACATCATGCATATTACAAACATATTTCACAAAAATGTTAAGGAAAAAGTTGCACTACTATACTTCGTTTCACCTTACGTTGTACCACAGCGAAGGCTAGACGAGCGATCTCATAGTGTTGGCAGCTGCCCGTATTGCACCAGAGCATGCGCCGCCGATATGTGCCCTAGAGCAAGGAGCTCGCGCTTGTAGTCTTTCCTGCTTTGCATCATGAGGTGAAATAAAGCATAAAATGTGATCGGCTGGCAAGAAAATGCTCGTGTTACCAAGAAATATTTACCTACGCAAAATCGCTAACAGAGGAGTAACATTGTTTTCTGCTTTTCAGTTTGAAAGAGACATCTTGATAATGAACACCAAAAGTCTCAACGAGCGTCCACCGCTGCAGCCTATCGACATGAACATACGTGAATTCCGCAAGTGGTTTTCTCAGTTTCTCAGCGAGAACAGCCCAACCTGGCAAACAGTACGAGAACGCACACTGCAGTGGTAAACACCAAGGCCTCACTTGCGCGCTAAAGGTGGTTTCTTCGTAGTGTTGGTAGCATCTGAGCCTGAATATTGACATTTGAGAGCTCCATATAACTGCTGAATGTCTGTTTTGACACGAAATGCGCCACGGCTAGACCATAACAAGGTAGGACGCCAAATCTCTAAATACATTATGTCCCAAAAACTGGAGGTAAAAAAAAAAGGTTAATCAAAACTGCTTAGCTATAATGAAACAGCGTATAAATCACTATAATCTAAAGACCATGTCCAAAGATATCCTCTGACGCGTCCGACCTGATAACTCTAATTTCCTCACCAAGAAAAACAGTATACATATTCGCCTGCTAACTGGATTTCAGGCTACTAGCGAGAAAACCAGTTAGATTTCCAGTTCCATAATCCAGTTTGAGAAAAGGTATGCTGTTTTTCCGGTAGGCTTGCCAATTTATTTCCACATAGCAGGGTGTTTAGGAATGTCAATGTATTTTTTAGTGATTTTCTTCCATGTAGCCACTGCAGACATATGACGCCCAGTTTTTTTGTACATGTTATAATAATAATTTTATCGTGCTCTTGCTTTCTGCCAATTTATGTTATTACTTGCTTTTTGACTTTTACTGTTAGCTGACGCAATGTGCTTGGGTCAGGGGTGGGCAGCATCACTATACAAATGTATAGCAATTCTATTTTAGAAACACATTTTGTGAATATGTTTCTGTATCAAGATACAGTTTTTATAGCGATTCTATTTTAGAAACACATTTTGTGTATATGTTTCTGTATCACGATACAGTTTGTGTGTCGTTACATTTTTTCAAACACACATGTATTTATTTTGGCGCAAAAATGTGAGCGTTGGAATTCTACAGTGAGTACTCGTTTCTTTGATAAGAAAGTGTTCACAATTAATGTAGATCGTGTCTTTTATTTCTTTGTACACGCCAGCGGGTGTACCCAACCAATCTTACGAAGAACATCTAGAATAAAATACATATATACATATATACATATTTTACTACCCGTATTTCTGCAAAACATGTTCCATTATATATATTTTCAAATACTTTTATATGTGTCTAATTTATTTCTGACACATATTGCTATACCTTTTTATAAATGTATTTCAATATATGTATTTTCGTCCTTTTCCCCCGTATCCCAGTGCTTCTCTTTCCAAATTTAATTCAATTCAATGTTTATTTGATGAGCTGAAGAGTTCAAAACCATATTCTGGGACCGACTGCTTCAAATCAAGTAATGTACGTACAGTATGAATGATATATGATCTCCAACTATCAGGGATGGGCAGTATTTCAAGTATTTGAAATACGTATTTCAAATACTTTGTGTATTTTACATTTGTATTTAATTACAAATTGGGTAATGTATTTGACCTGTGTATTTAAATACTTAAACGTGGGTATTTCAAATACAATTGTAATTAAATACAATTTCGGGGGCGAAAATACATCCCTCAAATTTATTGTCACTGTCAAGAGCAGGAAGAAAACTATGTCCTGCACCGAATGCAGTGTCTCTCAATCAAGCACAAGCGTTTGGTGACTGCGTTTACGGTGCTAGTCCAGGGCAAGAATAGTGACGGAATCGATGTTCACAGGCAGACTGGCTAAATAAGTGCCTGTGACTACTTGTGAGCTTTCCAGCCTGATTTCCCTTCATATTTTTGCCTGGAACATTCTAAATGCGCGGGTCGTCCAAATTTTTGTAACTGGTGCGAGTTGCAACAATAAAAAATTCTCTAGCTAGTGCTGCGCGCCTTGGTCGTCTCGGTTCTTTGTTGGTCTGTACCAAAATGTAATCGACAAAAAAAGCTGCTTGACGCTCTGTGCTTTTTTCACCTATTACGTCCAAGCTGATCACATTTTTTTTGTGATTATATTTCTATTACGTTACTAGAGCCGCGCAAACTAACTCCCGAGTGTGCAAAGCAAAATTATAATGAGATACCCAGAAACCCTTTGCAGGTGCCCTGAAGTCGCTCACGCAGATTTTGAGGAATGTATTAGGAAAAGTATTTGGAGGAGATCAAATACATTTGGTTGTATTTGTATCTTGTATTTAAATACTTTTTTGTAAATGTAATTAGATTTTGTAATTAAATACATTTTTGACGAAGTATTTTGTATTTGTATTTCGATACGTATTTGCATGTATTTTGCCCATCCCTGCCAACTATAAATACTGTACATCATGAATAATACTCTCAGTTGAGATGCAAAAGAAAAAAGCTTTCACTCAGAGAGGCGGTTACGCAATAAATGCAGATGGACATATGTGCAATAGATTACTCTAACACAGTAATAATATACAACATAAAAGCTGTTGTCTTTGAAGGGCACGTAGTGCTTATTTTGAACTTCGAATAATGCCTAATATCTGGCGACTATTTTTGTCATTTATAAAATCATTTAGTGAAGTTGATGCACTCGTCTGATTTTTTTAAGTTCGGCCAAGGATTTCAAACTTTGGCCAAAGAAAAAGAGTGATAGTCGAGTATGCTTAGCCCTAGACGTAATCGAGTTCGACACTGGTCGTATCTTGGGCAGTCCATTATAATGTGCTGAACGTTTTTCACAAAATAGGCACAAGTGCAGCTCGGTGTTTCCATCTGTTGAATTCGGCAAAGGACGCTTTCGGTGTACGCGACATTCAGTCGTAGGCGATGAATTAATGTCTCAATAGGTCTACTCAAGTAAGTATGGACTGGGCACCCAAGTTATGGACCAAATTGGCGGAGTAGACTGTGTTCCGACATGCTCTTTCTTCAGCCACTTGTCGGGGAACATTTTGTTTCGCAGATAATAAATGTATCGCTTAGCATCGCTTTTTTTAAAACATGTGGGGTGGACATTGTAGGTTGCAGTTGGTCAGCTTAGGTGTTTCCTGAAACATTGTTATGTCCTGGAACCCATTGAAGCTTGGTGTATCCCATGTCCGAATCATATAGCTTTCCCGAGTTGTTTTAGAGCGCAGCTCTTAGGGGCCCGTTTCCGGCTTGAGCGGCGTCGCCGTCGGCGTAACCGCGCGGTGCATCATGGGAAATGTCCCATAATGCACCGCGCGAGCCCCCCACCGGGGTCACGTGACCTCGTGGGGGGCACGTGACCCCCGAGGTCACGTGACCCCCCGAAGTCACGTGACTCCCCTGAGGTCACGTGACCCCTCGAGAAGTCACATGACCCCACGAGGTCACGTCACCCCCGAGGTCACGTGACCCCCGCCGATGTCGCGTGACCCCCGATGACGTCATCGTCACTGATGACGTCACCGGCATCCACATCGTCATCGTCATCATCACTGATGACGTCATCACTGATGACGTCACCGGCATCCACATCGTCATCATCACTGATGACGTCACCGGCATCCACATCGTCATCATCACTGATGACGTCATCAGTGACGTCACTGATGTTGTCACCGGCATCCACATCGTCATCGTCATCATCACTGATGACGTCACCGGCATCCACATCGTCATCGTCATCATCACTGATGACGTCACCGGCATCCGCATCGTCATCGTCATCATCACTGATGACGTTACCGACATCCGCATCGTCATCGTCATCATCACTGATGACGTCATCAGTGACGTCACTGATGTCGTCACCGGCATTCGCATCGTCATCATCATCATCACTGATGACGTCATCAGCGACGTCACTGATGACGTCACCGACATTCGCATCGTCATCGCCATCATCACTGGTGAAGTCATCAGTGACGTCACTAATGACGTCATCGGTACCCGCATCGTCATCGTCACTGATGACGTCATCAGTGACGTCAGTGATGACATCATCGGCATTGGGGGTCACGTGAACCCCAAGGTCCCGTGACCCCTCAAGGTCACGTGACCCCCCTGGTTAGTTTAACCCCCCCCCCCATTGCCCTTCCCTCCTCCTCAAGAGCTGCGCTCTAATTCGGCGTTACAGGGAGTTGTAAGCGGCTTTCACTTTTTAGATTCGCTAAGACTTGTACACGTTACTGAAAAAAGTAACCGATTGCAATTGCAATTACTTCACTGAAAAAAGTAACCGACTAGAATTACAACTACAGCCTCAAATAAGTAACCGAAAAATTTCTCTAAAGTAATCGATTACTTCCCACGTTACTTTTCATTCAACTTTTCTTTTTATTACTCTAGCATAATCCTTAAAATCTCGCGCTCAGTTGTTCCAAAAAAGAAGAAAGCCTTGACTGTTTTTGTTTAGAGCTGAGTGAGTGCCGCCAACACACCCAATCCCCCTAGTGGAAAAAATAAAAAATAAAAAAAATGAAAACCGCTCTGCTCAAATAGTTTTCTCACAGGAGGCTGGATAACGTCATTTTACATACCCAAACGTAGTCTCCGGCGTACAAAAAAAATTTACCCAGGAAACGAAGCATATGCTTTGTTTCCTAAGTAAATCCCGTGTTTAATGGTTTAAAACAAATTAACCGTTGTTTAGTGCTGAGTGACCCCAGCACATCTAACCTCTCGCCGCCCCCTTCCAAAAAAAGAAAAATTGAGAAGAATTGTAATGGGTAATTTTGTAATCGATTACAGCAGAAAGTAATTCAATTACAAGGATCGTTACTCCTTACAGAAAGTAATTGAAGCGTTACAAAATTGCTGCAAAATGTAATCGATTACAAGTAATCCATTACTTGTAATGCGTTACGTGCAAGTCTGGATTCGATACACAAGGGGCATATTTTCGTTGCGAGTGTTCAGGTTTTTTTAGATTCTAGTGCTGTCTTTGAGTCGGTACATATTGAACATAAATTCGCTCTCGAGCAATTTTTGATGTACATTACAGCCGCGAGTAAAGCATATAATTCTGCAATGCTTGAAGAAGTATGGTATGACAACCGAAAGGATGATCAGTGGTTGAAACGGGGACCACAAATGCTGATGTTCATCCTTAATCCTTGGTTGATCCGTGGGTATACACGTGGATGTTGTAGTATTATTTTTGCTGTAGTTGTGAAGGA